GTTCTACCCTTGATGATGAAAGATTTCAAAGGGTCAATCAATATAATTTTAATCATTTAAATAGAAAAAATTAATGAAATGATCTTATCATGAGGCTGTGACTTAAAAGAGCTCCTTTTAGTAAGAGTGATAATAGTAATAATCAAGGTTCGTCGTATCGTATCGTATCGACGTTTCGATCTGGGTTCGATATGGTACGGTACCGATGTACCGAATAATTTTATATTTTTTATATTATAATAGTGTTACAGTATAATAACGTAGCAGTGCTACAATACTACAGTAAATTTACTGTAACACTATATCGGTACCGAACGGTCCGCGTATCGGTAAACTATCGGACCAGTACATACCACCCGATATGAGCGGTACGTTTCGGTATGACAGACTTTGGTAATAATAATAACTTACCATTATTGTTCGGAATGGAAGATCAACCTGCACTGCTACTCGATCCTGTTGTCATGAGTTGTCGTCCCTCTTAAGAGGACACAAACTAAACTTGCAGAAGACTGAGCTATGAACTCAACCCAGGAAAGAAGAGATCATTATGCTGAATTCACAAGTGTGATACACCCAAATTAGGACATCGATACTTAAGAGGGGGAGTTTGGTAGGCAGAGAAGTCAGGAGATGTTCCATGGAAGAATGAATGACTGTGCTTTTGCAGTGAGTGTCATTTATTTGGGCAGCCTCCAATCAAGTGCTCTTTTGGTGGTGGTGTCTTCCCATTATCAACTACCTATCCTTAATAATGGCATTAAACAAATCCTAATCTAATGACTCAACCAGCAAGACCTCCTCACAAAGTAGACTGAGGCAAATATCTTTCCTTTTCCTATCAGAAAATAAATGTCTTCTGATATTTTCATTGGCCTACTGCATGGCCTTTGGTACTTCCCCTGTGGAAACTTGTATGAGTTCTCAATAAAAACCAAAAGCTCAGTCGACTCAGAATCGGAAAAAAAATATTGGCCTATGAACCTAGAGATTGTATCATGGACTTGAATGTTTAAATTCTTGAATGATAGTATGAGGTGTTAAATCTTATGGTATATGTGAGATTTGACCTTATGGTGACTTCCAGCATAATGGAATTGATAATAAGTATTTTAAAATTTTTAAAGTTAGTGTAGGATAAGAAATCTTAGCATAAGAAGTTTTTTTTTTTTGTAAACGAAGAAAACTTTGATAATTAGGATTTGATTGTTTTATAAATATCACGTTTTGATGGGAAAAGAATAAGATGCGAGAAATACTTTTGGTGCTTTGGATTTCTCTCTACGATATCCAGTGAGATGCTCTTTAGGATTTTTAGAAAGGACGAGATAAAAAAAATAAATTCTTCGACAATCATGTGAGATGGTATGTTAAGAAATTTATGTTTGGGTGGGAATAACTCGAGAATCTTGTAATTGATATCATATGATGAAATTTTTAATTTTCTCCATAAATATATAAATGAAAGTTATCAGTTTTTTTAATATATATTTTTTATTATTGATCTTTGATTTTTTTTTTAGTTTTTAAAATTTTCGATTCTCTCCCTTTAGTCACAACCCTATATACATACAAGGGTTTTCTATTCTAATACTAAGTTAACTATCTATCCATTAACTTATAAGAACTAAACCTTAGTCCAAAAATGGCTCAAGTTAATGATAATATATCCTTCTCGATCATTTTTTTCACTTCTAATAGGAGACTAAATCGAGAGTATTATAATATCATTATTGATTGATAACATTCTCATTAAAAAAAAAACATAACTTCAAAATCAAATATTATCATGATAACATTCTCTAGCATTCATAAGTACTATTTGTAATATTTCAACTTAATTGAATGAATAATTGATGCATTAGGTTAATAAGCCTCAACCACTAATCCAAGATGTATATAGAGTGTTACACAGTTCTATGTTAGTTCTTAAACAGAGTTCTATAAACAATCTTGTCTTCCATATGATCCTGAATCCTGCATGCCCGAAATGGAGCTCAGAGTTATGGGCATCGAGTCATCATGAATACTTCATCCTCATGTCCACGAACTACAAGTGACATGTCTCCATGGAAGGTGATAGTGGTGGACTCAGAACAACGAGAAATAAAATGAGCATTGAAGATGAATCATGAGAGGCTGTGCACTGTTCTACGAAGGAGCTGTTTGGAGAGTGGGGTCATGGCAGGGTTTACATGTTCTCTGCTGATGCAGGTGTCGTCATAGATCCCAGTTGGAATGTTGGGGGTGGGAAAAGGAGGACGAAGAGAATTGGATGCTCAACACTCACTCTAAATCGCAGACATTTTAGTTGTCTTCATGTCTCACATTTCTTCTCTGTTGGCTTCTCAGGAAGGTGTAAGTGGAATGCATATATATTTTGCATAAGAGAAGACCAAGCTGGAATCATGCATCAAGTGGTCAATACTAGAAGTCTTCCTGCCAGCCATTAGTTTGTTGTATAAACCAGCCATTAATTTGTTGTAACACTCCTAGGGAACTTGGTATATTATCATAACTTAGAGTTAAATATTTTGAATCAGCAGTTTGAATTTACTAAAATTAATAGAATAATTATTTAATAAGATTTGATTATGATGAATGATATACAACACAGTGCAGATTCAAGCAAGATAAGACTATCTTAGAAGGTGGTATGTCAAGATGTGAAGGTATCACTTGGTTAGACTTGCATGTAGTATACTAAAGTTTAATGTGCCTGCTTCAGATTTTAAATTTTGTGTATGCCCATTAAGCTGCTGTCATCAGCTTAATGTGCCTGCTTCAGATTCAAAGTCTCCGAACCTACACTTGTTGTTATGAACAAGATACTTGAATCATGTAATTGCTCCTTTTGGAAAAAGAAAAGAAGAATGATGAACCTTTCTTTGAGTGATTCAATCGTAAGAGTAAACAAATGCTCATGGAGGGCAACACCACTGATGCTCAATTCATCACTGAGAGATGATAATGGTGTTGTAAAGTTTATGATTCATTCAGTTCGCTTACCTAAGAATTTCTCCTATTGTCCTCCTGCATTGCATGTTTAAGCTTACTCGAGCTTTTGATGGCTATATAATAAGATTTATTTCTGGAAGCAGAGTGGCACATACAAGAATGATATGCTGAATGAGCAGAGAGAAAGATGTGCAGAAGCTAAACATTCATTACCAATCTAAAATTTAGCTTTTCATGAATAGAACAAGCAAAATGCACTACTTCTCAAGTTGTTTATGATCTTGCACTTGCAATGTTTAGAGTAGATGGAGTCCAATAAATGAACAGCAGCAGCTTATTGCCCTTTTATTAGGTTTTATGACCCTACTAAAACATCATATATATATATATATATATATATATATATATA